AGAGAGAGAGAGAGAGAGAGAGAGAGAGAGAGAGAGAGAGAGAGAGAGAGAGAGGGAAAGCCTGCACTCTTCTTATTGACTCTTCTCTATATTTTGTTAAAATATGTTTTGTTTGATTTGAAATCAAATATTGATGAGTGACTCACTTGAATGACTGTTTTCCTTTGATTACTTGTGGGACTGATTTGTGATGAAAAATTGGAAACATTGTTGGATAGAGTGATACCATTCTTCATATGGTTTGTGAGGCCGGCGTTAAACACATTACAAGACGGTCTGATGGAGTTCTTCGACAACAGAATGGTTGGCTTCGGCGGCAGCGGAGGTGCGACCGGTTTGCCAGCGATCACCGGGTGTTGGTTTGGCGGACACAAGTCTTTGTTGACATTCTTGACGATCTCGATGTTGTTGGTCGTCATTCCCGACTTGAGGTTATAACACGACAACGACTTCTGCATATTCTTGTTGTTGATGTCATTCAAATTGTTGGCCAACTCTAAGGGCTGTCTATTATTAATATTATTGTTGATATTCTGCTGCAGAAGAATCTGTTTATTCTTTTCTAACTTCTTTTTATCTCTGTTTATATTGAAGTGTTTCCCCAAATGGAGAGCGTTTATGAAACCCAACGACTTCTTGAGTCCGCCGTGACTTTGATTGCTATTATTGTTGTTATGATTATTATTATTGTTATTATTGGTTACGATATTATGCGAGTGGTTGTGATTAAAGAAATTCTTGTTGTTCTCCATGTTATTCGTGAACACATTATTCTTGCCCTTATTCTTGGCGTTATTCATATGATTCATGTGTTCGCTATAATTAAATGCATTCAAATTGAACCCATTATTCGCTTCTATAGTCGAGTCGTTATACATAACAATCTTGCGATCTCTCGGAGATAAACTCAATACAGTGCCCATCGTTTACCAGTCGTTTGTATGGCTCCTCTTCTCTCAAGCAATGGTTAATTTTTCAATATTCAGTTACCGTTTAAATACTTCGTGTATTTCTTCTCCAAATGTGTCCACACTTTATGAACAATACATCTGAAGGCAAACCGAAAGTGGATTTTGTTTGCAAAGCGTTTGTGTTTTGACGGAAAGCCTGCCTTTGGATGAGTCAACGCGTTCTGTAAGATGGCTTCCACTCAAGTCTCCCAACACTTGCACTTAAGTATACCTTCGCTTCAAAACAATTCTCCGATTCATAAAACACTGCGAAATATATTTCAATTGAAACTGAATTTTGAGACACAAAATGAAAACTGATTTTGAAAACAAGTGAAACACAATTTGAATCAAAACACTTGTGAGAACTGATCACTCAATTAATACCAATAATAATATGTATTTGAATATAAAATTATAAACGTGTGAAACAGTCGTCTCTTACGGATAAACAGGAGTTTTCACATGAAATGGTGTTTGAATTTAAGGACTGAATCGTAAGATAAGCGAAACGATTCAATGAGTCATCCGATGGAGCGGTGGAACCATTAGATGAAAGAGAGATCACATAAAAAGAGGGGAAAATATTGGAAATCTCTCGGAGAGAGAGAATGAGTGCGAAGAGAGAGATAGAGAGCTATGTATTAGTGTTTCGGCGTTAAGGATATGTCGGTCGCGAGTCGTGAGGAGACGCACAGCGCATACATTCAGGAGTCGTAACAGTCGTGCGGAGAATATATTTCGATCGAAATATCATTTATGCCTTCTTTTAAAGCACCAGTTCTTCAGCAATGGTATGGGATTTACACTGCGATCGAGTGCACAGTCTCTCATAGCAACCATTCCCTCTATTCGTGGCCTTTCTCTCTCTCTCTCTCTCTCTCCAACTTTTACTGTTGTCTTTAGCAGAATTAATTGTTTATTTGAAATATATTGATAAAAATTTTTATTAATAAAAATATTTTATATTAAAAACAAAATTAATACAAATTCTTTGAATAATTACAATTTTATTATTAAATTGTGTGGTTTATAGCAAGTAATGTTATTTTTAATTAAATGTAATTAATATTATTAACGGTTGACTTTTAACTACATATGATATTATATAATTTTGTTCATATTATGCAAAATATAAGTAGTATTTGAATTGAATTTATAAATTGATTTTTCTTAATATTATTTATCTCTTCTTAATGATGACTTTCTTTGCATAAGAAAACAAATATATTTTATAATCAGATAAAACTTATAAAAATTATATATTAAGCTTTCTTTATCAATATTTTATTGTGAATATATTACTAAACAGTAATTTGAGTGAAACTTTAATTATGTGAAAACGTCTGCAATACCTGTGCATCAATTTTATTGAATATTGTAATTGCAATACATTTATAAAAAGGCGATTCAAAGTCATTGCTTAGGCCTTGAAAGTGAAACCATTATTAATCTGCTGTAAATATAATTCAATTTCAATAAAAAATTTAATATTATTATAAATTATAATAACTAAAATAAATAAATAATATTTTTCTCGATTAAATAGAAAAGTAAAAACCATATATAAAACAATGACATTTGAATAAAACATGTGTCTAAATGTAAATGTAGTTAAATATAATTCTGTGATTCTTTATTAATAAATAATGACTATTCAGACAATATGTGTCTTTCGTATTAAATTACATTAAATGTCAAATCAATCAACACATCATAAAAGTACAAAAAGGGCTGATATTGTGATATTGAGGTGATCTTGGGATCCGATGTCATCTATAATTTCCTTAATGTTCATAACTCGGCGTATAATTGAGTTGTGAACTGATATTTTCAGCGAATATACACTAATGTATATATACTATCATCCGATAGAATAATGTAATGAACGAGTTTGTCATTTCCGCTCTCTTTCTCGTCTTCACTCCAAATACATTATCCATAACTCTATATAACTCTCTAATAATTGAACACCAAATCAATAGAAATAAACATTCAGTGATGACGACTGCCATCCATTTCTATCATCTCTTTTGTGCCATTTTTATGTCGTTCACTATAACTCTCTCTCTCTCTTCTGCCACTGTGTCTGCAATCAAATAAACATTAA